AAACTAAGACCGGCCCCCGACCAGAGAAAGGAACAGCTATGTGGCCCTCGCAGGAAAAAGTTTGGGGACCCCTGCTCTAGAGAGTCACAATTTCCTACACTTTTACATTTCAGGATTCTTCACCAGAGGAAAAAGTCATATGTAGAAAAACAGCACTAAAAAAGCTGCATTTCATAAAAATCTAAAAGAACCATTTTGAAACAATATGTCAGAAGAATTCCTCAGATTTTGGTCCATGTTGACGTGACAGCAGCATCACACCAATTTGTTGGATGCACACCTGAAATGTAATGCACATCCTAAATGTGCTCTGTTGCATTGATTTCTGGTGACTATGAAAGCTACTGAGGTGGAACAAACTCATCATTTTCAAGAAACCCTGTTTGTGATCATTTGACCTTTTTGAAATGGTGCATTTGCTACAGAATGTTCCTTTAGGAAAATGGATACACTGTGGTCATAAAGGGGTGGAAATGGTCAGCAGCAACATCCAGGGAGGCTGTGATGCTTAGACCAAAGTTTGCAAAGAAAGTATCCCCTAGATGACTGATAAAGGCATGATAAATCAATGGCTCCCATTGGTAGAGCCAAATCTTCACCCTACAAGCTGAAGGCAGCTGAAATCCAGACAAGGACACGTTGCTCCCACTACCCTCAATCTGTCTGTGAGCAATTTTGGTGCAATTTACCATCACCTTTCTGATTTAACACACAAGAAATTGATCAGGTGTACCTAATAACATGGACAGAGAGTATATGTTTGCAAATGAAAATGCACTGTGTCCTATTTCAGTTTCATAATCCATCTATATTTTCTTTTTTGCAAGAAAGTGTAAAGATAAAGAGAATGACTAACCTATACTTAAAAACAAAACAAGTTAACAATCCCACCAGGAACAGGGATCAAATGCCATTTTAAGATTATCTGAAATGTTTAACACTTGATGAAACATTTAGTTTTCATCTTCTTAGACAATTTTTCTAGTTTCAACTCCAACTTTGTCTTCATTCTAACAGAAGTCCATGAAGGAGAGCTTTCTCTTTGTTCTCCTTTATCTAATTATGAAAGACCAACACAATCATCATCAGCCAACCAGAACTTAAATTTATCTGAACTGTAAAAACTGCACAGTGGAGTCAACATACCTACTTTTCCTGTTGTTTGATTGGATTGTGGAAAGCTAAAACTTCTTTAGAAGAGCAGCAGCTAACAACACATTCACAGCAGAGTCACTCTGCGCTGACTGGGTAATGATTATTTGCAGGGAAATCTGTGCAGGAAGTGAGAAACTGTGGATTTGTGGTTCATCCCAAATGAACCAGTCGGAGAGATTTGTGAATTGAAGAATCAAGATAAAGCTTCAAATTGGTACAAGCTATTTTCTTGTTTCCCTATTAACTTCTGAAAATCCCTCCAGGGGCTTTTTCTTAATCACTTAACTGACTTGTTGTTGGTCAACTTCAATGACAGCAAGAGGTTTTTCTACGTAAATTATTTTTAAAATCTGCAAATAATGACATGTTCCAGATTGAAAAACCTAACAAGAGTATTTTCTTGAATTTATTGTCCTTCAGTTGAATGGAGTTGTAAAATAATACAAAGTGTCGTCATTATCTCTTCACACAGAACTGAAATGCTTTTTTATGAGTGCTGTTTGTAAATGTTTCCAGGAGCTTTTTCTAGCTTACCCACTAGGGTGAGGCATTGGCCAACTCTGGCAGAGATTATTCCTGCACTTCTATTTCCAGAAAGATATTTGACTAAAAAAGGAGAAATATATATTTGAGTATATGCATAGATACAAAGTCAACTTTTTTTGTGTTTTTTTTCTCTGTCTAATCAAAAAACAAGAAGTTATTAAACTTCTACCAGCTTAAATTACTTTGAATAAAAATCCAAAACCCTTCATTGAGATGTAGCTGAGCATGTGTGCCCAATTTATTTAGTTTCCTACATTTTAAATGTCTTTGTCTCTTACCTTTGTGTTTCCTTATGCCATTACAAGCTCTACATTTCTCTTTTCAGGAAATCTCTACCTATTTTCATCAGAGGTCAAAGATCAGCTGCAATTTCGACACATCCATGGCTTGAGAAGAATGCTCTCTTCATGTTACATTGCACAACTGGTATGCTTACAACCTGTGCACATAGTGTATAAACAAATCATTTACTCATACATTGTAAATTTTTTAATATGAGTTCTGAAAACACCGTCCCCTAAATCTACATGCTGCATGGTTGAATGAACTTGTTCATCAGCATCAGGTAAAGTTACATTTACACGTTTCTATGAAATTCCAGAGCTCAGTCAGCAAACATGGACAAGAGCAAGTTTGCATGTTCATTTGACTCGTTTTCTTAGAGTTGAGGGAGAACGCAGGCATCCAGGCAGTGGACAAAGTACACTTGGCGTGAGATAAGATCAGCGTCTAATGCATTGTGCAACAAAATAAAATGGAAAAAAGAGCAAAAGATATGCGATAAAACACAAATATGATTTAGCTTGCAGTCGGTCAATGTAGCTCCTTGCATATGAGCAACAAACAAGCATTCCTCATCAGATTACTGCGGAGGGCTCAGAGACCACTCATACAAACCCACACAGGCGCTTTGAAAGCATGGCGCTTTCTCACTGTGTGTATCCAACTCAAACATTTATCCACTGTTCATTGCCCCCCAACAATAACCCACCTCCCACAGCCCTGATGTGACCCCTCCGTCAGCGGCGTAAACCTGAAGGGCAGGCACAGAGTTCACATGACTTTAATGACTCTTTGTTTTGTTGTTGTTGTCATTTTTTGTTTGCCTGTCAGAAAAATGAACAAGACATATGTAATCAATCCTCATGAATATCCCATCAACTCACCTGTTTTTTTTTATTTCTCTGCTTTCTTACTTTCTGTCACTCATTCTCTTTTGTTCCTCCTGCAAACAGTGTGATGCAATCAATAACTTACAAAAAGTGCCTGTGCTGAACACATAGGCCAACTCTCTTGCCCCCGTCTCCCTCCCTACCATTGCCCTCTTTCCCTCCCTCTCTCCCTCCCTCCCTCCCTCCCTCCCTCCCTCAGTTGCTCTGCAGCTTTTCTTTCCTGTCCTGTCTTCTCTCCCTGCGCTTGAATGGAGAGGCCGGGCTCTCTGGAACCCGCACCCCCCTTGCAGGGTGCAGAACCCGTTGCTGGGGTTCATGCTGCCAAGATGGAAGCGCCTCCTGCGGATGAGGGGGCAACATTTGCCAGCTCCAAGCTGTTTTGGTGTGGGTGTGTGAAGCGTTGGCTGCCTCTGGCCTACAGAGAGGAACTTTATCACGTCTTACGACTCACAGGCCCCCTGGTGAGTAGACGGAAACTGAAGTGTTGCTCTTTAATCTGCAAAAAGCTGCGATCGGAGTGACTTTACTTGATTTGATTTACTGTGTGATGTGTTGTTCATAACCCAGTTTAATAGTGCAATCATTTGCGAATATTTTATGTGTGCTGAAAGTAAAAAAAAAAAAAAAGCTTCTGCTTATCGAATAGGGGCATAATTAGCTCATGGCTGCTGATTTCACACCACTGCTATCTAACTTCTTTATTTTGTAGTTGCCTGGATGCAGTTAGTGGCAGTAGCTAAATCAGTCCAAACTGTGTTTCTACAGCTGCTGTCCCGGATTCTGAACTTTCTCCTGCCGTTTGTTATCACCATTTTTTGCGGTCACATTGGAAATGCAGAGTTGGCTGGATATGCCCTTGCCTCAGCGGTATGAAATTGTTCTTTTGCAGATTAACAATGCCATAAAGTTTGCGTGTGCATGTGTATGTGTGTGTGTTAGATGATTAGAAAATATCTCAGGTGTTTGAATTGTTATCAGTTCTTGACAGAATGCATCTTTTTATTGACAGGATTCAATCTGTGGATTTTTAGATGTCATCAAATAAAGTTTAGAGAATTATGTTTATTTTCAGTTCCAGTTTGTTCTCTTTTTTTCTTTGTTTTGATCAAGACTTGTTGAGAAGTAAGATTTCAGTTTTATTGTAGGACATAAAAGGGCTTCTAATGCAAGCAATGATGATTTCCAGACTTGTGAAAGTTCTTGTGTGAATGCTCTCCTGTTCGAGCTCCTCCAAAGAAAGAGTCAGTTTATGCAATTTATTTACGAAAATAAGGTTTACTCAATTTTAAACCTCTCCATAGAGTGGTCATTCCAAGGTTAAATAGACCAAAAACACCCAGCTGGGCAACACAGGGCACCAGAATGCATTATGGGAAAAAAAGCAAACCAGCTAAATAAGCGTTACTTCGGCATTTATGACCTTCCTAATCAATGCTGGAAGCCAAACATTTTCCCTGAAGGTTCTCTTTCCGCACACAAAGCAGCAATGCTGCAAAACAACAATGGTTTAAGAATAGCTTGAGAAGCACAAAGACTTAATATATGGACTTAGGCCGTTAAATTAATCAGAACTCTGTCCAGTGGATCAAGGGGCTCCACAGATCACAAGGCTGATCAGTGGACTGGTCAGATCACAAGACTGACCAGTGGAGGCCCCACTATGCAACTTGCAGGACTTAAAGGATCAGCTGTTAACATCTTAGCGCCAGATACCACAGTGCACCTTCAGAATTCTGGTGAAGCCCACCTCTTGGAGATGTTAAGGCTGCTTTGGCAGCAAAAAGTGGTCATGATGTTTTGCCTGACTGGTGTATTTAAAACAGGACATAAAGTTTAAAAAAAAAAAAAAATGTGTTCTTAACATGTGGAATTACATAAAACTTTCTAATATATAAAAATAGACTGACAAAAAGACACCAGCTTATACTTTGCTTCAGATTAAAAAAATGAATTTGAACTTCTTTTTAAACTATTCTTTCTGAAATATTTTCTCCAATGAGTTTGTGAGGTTTAATGTTTTACGTTTTAATGTTTTAAGTCCTCTAATAAGTTTCTCATTGGAGATGAGAAGGGCATCGCTCCATAGATAACAAAACAATAATAACAGGTGGAACTTTTTTTTTTGGGGTGGGGGGGGGGGGGGGGGGGGGGGGCAGGAGATTACAGCAATCAAACTCTTCTTATAATTACTGACCATTTTCTATGTTTTCATTGGTATTTTAATGATGAGCTACCAGTCTTGTAAATTCAAAACAGGACTCTGGCTGGTAAACTCCAAAACATTAATATTACATCCAAAAATTGTGGTGTTAAAAATAAAACCGAAACATGCCAGGCATGAACATTTTGAATCTAAATTTACATGCGATGTAGAGAACATAATGCATCATTCATGTAAAAATATTTCATTATGGTTAAAGTTGCTGTCGTTGCTCATCTGCTGGTAAATTTAAATTATTGTTAATCAATTTGTACTGAGTTGTGTATTATTGTCGCCAGAATACTGTTGGGTTTCTTGGTGTCCGAGTGTTTGCATGTTAGACATACAGAATACGATGTGTCAGTGGGTGAGCGTGATTTGCAATACACATTAAAGATCTAAAACAGTGGGAAAAAGAAGGCACTTAAAGTGACAAATTAAAATAGTTAAAGAAACACAACTTGTCCTGGTTCATGGCTACATGTACAGTATCTCCCTGTCTCCAGTCTGTCAAATGTTTTACGTGAATCCGTGGGCAGTCATTAACTTTGCTTGTGTGCCCTGTTTTAAAAGACGCATAAAACACTGGTTCTGTCAACATATGTGCAAAGGGTAGATAACCACATTTCAGACTTAGTTGAGCTCAGAATTATTGAAATTTAAGTTTGAAATAATCTTTTAATCCTACCAACGTGTTTCTTCAGGTTAAAATAACATTTATTATTGGAATAACTCAGTTAGAATCATGGCTTAAATCTGACAAAGTGCCTGTAAAGAGAGCTAAGCATTAGGGTTATGGCATGGAGACCTTTCAGACTCAATGACTTAGGATAACATTACCTCTCTGCAATGGTCAGAATATCAGTGGAAACAGACAAACAGCTGGGCGCTTGTAATGTTATCCTTTTACTTTATGTATTGAGAATTTTATAAATAATTGCTGACATGCCTCTACTCTCTTAAAATATAACAAACAATTTAAAACTTCCCATATTTATTGTATTTACACATTACTGTACATATGTGTATTCGTAAGATCTATTCTTCTAACCCTGAGTAGTTTGTATTAAACTTAAACTGAGTTTGCAAAGTTGATCACAAAACATCTTTTAATTGTAGGCAAAATCTAGACATTTGCGTGAACATCAGATTTAACGTGAAACATCTCATAACTGAGTTTTGTTGTCTGTTGCTTTAGATGATCAACGTGACAACAACTGCAACGGGCTATGGCCTGACGATGGCGTGTGATACTCTCATTTCCCAGGTGATCCGAGCGCTCCGTCGGTGATTTATTGTGCTTGAAACAAGCCACTGAAACGTCTCTGTTTTGCAGACATATGGCAGCAGGAACATGAAACGTGTGGGAGTTATTCTACAGAAAAGCACCCTGATCCTGCTGATGTTTTGTCTGCCTTGCTGGGCTCTCCTTGTCAACTCCCACAATTTACTGCTCCTTCTTCAGCAAAAGCATGAAGTAGCCCGGTATATCCTGCAGCTCTGATATCTTTATACTCTGTCTGGGATAAACTGTGGTTTAGAACATAAAATACAAAAAAGGCTTATCTTCATCTTCAAGGCCAAGGCTGACAGTTAAATTATCTTTAAGCAGTTTATTATTCAGCTTTCTACCTTTACCAGTGGACGAAATCTAGTAAGACCCCAAGTGAAGATTTCTATCTCTAGTTCATTTATTACATTTACAAACACAATAAAGCATAGATTTGAAAACATAATTTTCATTCTGCAGAAACAGGGTATGAAAAGTCAAAAATCTAACTGTGTTTATGGCACTTGTTGAAAAGTGTTTTTTTTTTTTTTTTCTTTTGCAACATTTCAGAATTGCCCACCTTTACGTGATGGCGTTTCTTCCTGCTGTTCCAGTGAGTACAATAAACTGAACTTGTCTATTTATATTTAAATATAAACTAAATACATATTTAAAAATTATGCATTTAGCCAGTAAAGCAATTCAACAGAAGTACTAAAAGCTGCAGTTTTACCAAAAATGTTCCACAGTGGGGAAGTTGTAGTCAACGTGCCGTCCTGTTTTAGCTTTCCACAATATATTCTTTCATATTGAGGCCAAAAAGTTTAACTTTGGTCTCATCTGGACAGGACACCTTCTTCCACGTGCTTTCTATTTCATACAAAGCTTTGTGGTGAACTTTCTTTCAACAACGACTTTCAAGTGTATCAACACTTATTGCCGTTCTTCCGTATGCTCCAAATTTTAACACCTGACCTGTAAATCTCTGAAGCTCCTTCAGGTTTAGCATGGGACTCCTAAACCCATTCTCCATTGTCTAGTCTCAATCTAACTGGTTAATGTCTGGTTTGGTTCTTGCCAAGTTGAGTTTAGCTCCACTAAATGTGAGAGTGAATATGAGCAAGAACATGAGCGGGAATGTGGGATTGTGGTTGAAGCTCAGATGGTGTAATTTTGCACATATATCCTTGGGTGCCAGCAATCTCTCTATATATTTGTTTGTTGTGAGCTGCTTGGTTCAGCTGACAATGTATGTGCTCTTCTGCCACAATAGATAAAAAGGTTTGGACCTGAAGGTTTGACGGTAGAATTATCAATCTGCAGCTCGCCATCTCATCAGCTACTATATGGCCTGAAAATGATGGTGGAGATGCTGCTGTTAGAGGAGTTTCCGTCACTTTGCTCATCTAGTGACGTAAATCATGTGCCAATCAATGAATGCAGTCAGCTGTCAATCAAATCCTTGCGTGCAACACACGGCTTGAGGTGTTTATGAAAAATGAGGAGGAACTATGGTGGACCTGGTAATAGAGACGTGGCTTTAGCTGCTTTTCTGATCGATAATCATTGCTTGTTTTGACAGTCAGTAGACGTCCATATCTTGATAGTGTTTTGAAGGTAATTGATTGTACTTGATGTAATTGTCCCTGTTACCCGAGTAAAAAGGTCTGAATACTTTTTGCTGGTCAACCACACAACATGCCAGATGAATACACTGGAGCTTATAGTTGGATGTGACAGAATGCTAAGATAGTTCTGGGGTTAGAAATAGGAAAAATAAATCATTTGTCATTTAAATTGTAGGGCTTTCCACAATTTGCATGTGTCCAAAGTTTTGCGGGTGTCCTTAGGTTTCCTGCAGTGGCATATAGGGGAGTCTGTGGTGTGTGGTTTCATACAAAAAAGAATACAAATATCCATGCTAAATTTGCAAAAAAAAGAATGTGCAGAATCAGGTGAAAGCCAGCTCATTCATACATTAAATCTTCTGAACTGACGGGTGCACTTTCTTTTTTACCATGGCTGTATGATCATGCTTAAAAACAAAATAAATCTTATAATATTAGGAATTTGTTGGCTTGATAGTTCTGCCATTCCTGGTTATCTTTTCATTCTCATTTCTAATGAACTAAGATAATCCAGCAGTTGAATAATGCAATTATTCAACTGAAGATGGGTAAGAAACACAATTTCCTTTTAAAAAGTCGATGCTGCGGGGTAAACTGTTTTCATCATGGCTGACTTTCAACAAAAATAACAAAGACGTGGAATACCAAGCTCTTCTTGCCATCTATGAATTTAAAGCTTTTTAATTAACCACTGATTTTGCTTTATTTAAAAACTTTGCTGCAATTTGGAGGCGTCACAAAAAATATGAATCAAAGGACACTGAATTACCTCCTGAAGCACATTAACCTAAAATCTGACTGTAGAGTTCACTCTTGAATGTTTAGTTTCCAAAGTTCATCCCACTTTACATGTATTTCATATTTTATTCTAAGATATATGACATTAAAACAGTACTGTCTTATTTACCTACTTATGCACTTAACACTAAATAAGACATTTGAGAATCATAGGTCTCAAGATCATCATAAAATTGTAATGTTTTAAAGATACTGCACACCAAGAGATATATGAGATCAGTCATATAAAAACTGACTTTTGTCTCTTTTTGTTCCAGGCTATGTTTTTGCATCAGCTGCAGGTTTCTTATCTACAAAACCAGGTACTTTCCCGGAAAAAGTATTTTTCTGCTCAGCTACGTTACATCTCAAAATCTGAGTTTGTGGAAACTTTTTAAGGCAAAACCTTTCAACCTGTTTTGACAGTTTAACTGTATTTCTTCTCTGATCCCGTATTTGTTTCCTTTTACTTATTTTATTGGTTTACCTAGTTTATTGGTGCAACAGTTTTCTACTAAACTTTCCATTTTGCTACCTATCTTCATGATGTCAGACATCATGAGGATAGTCCTCCCTGACTGGTTTATCAGATTTGATCATTATGATATATTTGACTAAATGATCCATTAATATTTAATCTTGTTGGATAATTTCTTTGGTGTACATTTTTCTTATACATGTGCTATTTTTTTCTGTTTTTCAAGTTTTATGGCCAGCCAGTGTTTGAAAATTGTCACTGCAGACTTCCTTTCTAATTCTAACTTCTATATTTTTGTATCTATCAGGGGATCATTCTACCCCAGATGTACACAGCTGCAGTAGCCAACATTTTGAACTTGGGGATCAATTTTCTTCTTATTTCTGAGCTCAAGCTGGGTGTAATGTAAGTGTGCCTAACATTTCCTGCCTTTGAAATTTTGATGGACTTTGTATCGACTGATATGGTATCAAACCTCAGAAGTGAGAACAGATAAAATACATAATAATCAATATAATCAAAAGAGCAGGAAGTCAAAGAGAAAGGGAAGGTATGCATTCAAGAGAAGTATTTTTTTCTGCATTTTATCTTATAATTTGTCTTTGAAGGGTAATTTGTTTTTTGTTCACACCGAGTCAGCAGTTCACTGACGTTTATTATTTTTGATCTTTATTTAGAGAGAAAGGGTCATAATAGGGCAAAAACAGACAAGAAAGAAATGTTACGGCTCATTCCAGATTCCAGCTGTACAAACATTTGATTCATCAGCAATTTGACCAATCGGGTCTCCCTGTTCGGGTCGCGTCTCCCCACTTGCTCCATATCAACCAGGGACACCTGCTAAGGGCCTATTGAATGATTTTACTGTCCCTTTATGTGCAAGTCGCAGTGTATGTTTTTCCTCTGTATGGTTCTGCAGAGATACACTTGTAAAATTACATCTTTACACCGTCTGCCGTAAACCAGATTAAGAAATAAATCCGTTCTGTCGTGTGTGTGTTTGCAGTGGATCAGCGACTGCCAACAGCCTCTCTCAGATCATCATTTGCCTTCTGTTGTTTGGCTACATCAGGTGGAAGAAGCTCTATAAGCAGACATGGGGAGGTAAGATCAAGAGGCTCTTTTATCAATAGACTGTCACAAAAATATACTTGGATTCTTTATTTCTGATGATTATGGATTGAAGACAGTGAAATAATTTTTTCACTGTTTTGCCTGAATTACACCATTGTTATGTGGCATGGAGGTGATCAGCAAGCAGATCTGCTGAGTTGCTAATAAAGACTTTCAGCTCTTCTGCATTGACTATGGAGACTCAGAGGTGGACAGAGCAGCCAAAAGTTTGTACTCAAGTAAGAGTAGAACTGCTTCAGCATATTTTTACTCAAGTAAAAGTAAAAAATAGCTGTCTAAGAAATTACTCAAGTAAGAGTAAGAAAGTATTTGGTAAAAAGTCTACTCAAGTAGCTGATCAAATTATCAATCATTTAATATTTAAAAATGACACAACCAGACGGACCAAATTGTAAAGTTAAGTGGAAACTTTGGTATTCTAAGGACCAAAATGACAATCATTCATATAAGCAGAAAAAAAATATTACAAAATCAGATGAAAGAAGTTTTTTCCAAATCAGTTTCTTTCAACAAAGAAAAAAAAATTAAGAAAAACCGCAGGAGTGTGTCTGTGTCTGGTGAATGTTTGGTTAAAACATTTTTGTTTTCCATTCACTGGGTAGAAAATCCATAAATAACAAATAAAATGGTTGTGGCTCATGTCCTGGATACATCTGTGTACTTTGGTTCTTGAAACATTGACTCCATTTGCAGCACAGACGTTGTGATTGTCCCTAAAACCTGAAATGAGTAAAAGCTGCAGTTATAACCATTGCTAATACATCTTTTCTATCCCATTTTTTCCTTTCGCTTAACTTTCCATTGATACATTTTATAGTTTCCTTCCTTGTAAAGGGTTTGTTTGACTATCTACTGTTTTCCAGATGATTCTATGGAGCGTGAAATATGATTTCTATTTAAAAAATGTTTGTTTTTTTTTTTAGAACTATTCTAATGTCATACAGTTTTTTCCTCAAGTTTAGTTAATTTTGTTAATCAAAATTAATGTCTAAAATTAAAATATAAGATCCTGACAGATTAAAAAATATTACAGATATTTATCTGGGTTAATGGAGTCGTGCTTTTTTCTAAGAATCTGGATAAACCTTTTTGCAGGTTGGTCCACTGAATGTCTGCAGGGCTGGGGTTCCTACATGAAGCTGGCCGTTCCCAGCGCATTCATGATCTGTTTTGAGTGGTGGGTCTGGGAGGTTGGAGGCTTTCTTGCAGGTTTGTGTTTTATATTTTCTTTTACACAATCGCATCACAATTTTGACAGGATATCTTCAAAATCGTCTTGGCAGACCTGATAGAGTTTCTGTAAATTGGTTTCTTGGAATGGAGCAATGATTCCCAGCCTGTGGAAATCCTTAATATGATTTATACATACAGACGATAAAAGAAACAAAAAAATTTTAATCATTGTATGTTGCTTTTACACCTACATCTGTCAATTACAAGTCTGTTCATGGGATACAACTCAACTAAAAGAATTAAGTAAATTTATGATATTGGCTCAATTTATTTATTTAGAAATGTGCTTCACCTGCACACATATTAACTCTTCACAGTTAAATTGTCAGATAGATGCATCATCCTGAAATTTTTTTTTGTACATTCTTTTTATTGAAAAAGGTAAATCCTACTTGTTATGATGTATTGATTTAGTTTTGCTCCAGTCTAGTAATATCTGTTCCACTTGCTGACATGCTCTTTCCCAAACTGTTATACTCAAACCCAAAACTTGTGATTATTTTTAGGTTGGCTTGGAGAAGATGACCTGGCTGCCCAGCATCTGATGGTAGAAATAGGAGCCATAACATACATGGTACGCATCATTAGAAAGAAATGATCACCGGGGTTATTTACAAACATAACCTGGACTGAATAATATATGCTTTCTTGCAGTTTCCTTTAGGTATCCACGCTGCAGCCTGTGTGCGTGTGGGGAACGCTTTGGGAGCCGGGAACACATCAAGAGCCATAATCACCTGCAAAGTTGCCTTAGTTCTTTCAGGTATGAAGATACTTATTACATGCATTTGAAGTAGAAAGAATCCAATACATTGCTTTAAAAACATGTGACATGCACAAGTAATCAGCCATTGATTGATACATTTGATGTGTATTTGATGATTACTCTTGACGATTTTAATGCTTGTGCTCGATAAAACGGCTCGTTTGCTGTTCCCAACATGATTAGTTAGTGTGTCATGTTTTTATCACGGAAAGCACTTTGAACTGCCTCTTTGCTGAAATATGCTACATAAAGAAACTTGACTTAAAGGGTCTTTCAGTGTTTAGCTTCATCTTCTTCAACTTTAACCAGTTTCTTCTGCTACAACCACCATATTTTACTGTGGTGCATTCAGAGTGAGGTCAGTCGAAGTTTTCTGTCACGTATGACTTTTCTTTATTCCACATATTTCTTGTGTTCCTTGAAAGGCTTCCAGCAAACTGCAAATTGGATTCCTTATTGCTTTTATTTTGTCAATCTTCTGTATATTTGTGAAATGTGTGACTAAACAAATCCCCCTTAGCTAACTCAATGATGCTTTGTTTTGGTCTGTCACATGATCACCTCTAAAGTTACAGTTTATAGTTATAGTTTGTGGTTTGAAATTGACAAAAAGTGGAATTAATGTTAGCGAAAGACATTTTCAAAAATTAAACAGCTCTGACACATTCCTACTGGAAGGAAACCGCTTGTGTTATATCCAACACATATGATGGTTATGATCATTGCGCGTCTCTTAACACCAATCTTGAATAATTTGTAAAGTGTCGTATCTTTTCTTTGCACCACAGGAGTGCTGGCTCTGTTCCAGGGGTTCATCCTCGCTGGCTGTAAGTCCGTCATTGGCTACATATTTACCTCAGACGTGTGAGTCTTCCAGCCAACACACATTCATTCCTATGCAGTGAATAAGCAGCTCTGTCTTGATGTGCTCACCTTGTCTTCTGCAGCAAAATTGTGCAGCTCGTATCAGACAACTTGACAGTTTACACATTTCTTCAGTTCCTTGATGCTCTTCTGGTATGTTTTACTTTTGTGTTTTATTTTAATTTGAATTTTTTTCCATCAATTAAATGTTCTTTTAAATATTTTTTGGGATCCTTCAGTGTGTCTGCACAGGGATTCTTGTTGGATGTGGGATGCAGAAAATCGCAGCCGTGTCAAATTTGATATTTTACTACCTCATCGGCCTGCCTGTCGGAATAGCACTGATGTTTTGGGCCAAGCTGCGAATATTAGGTAATTTGTTCTTGATCATCTTTTCTGTCCATATCACCACATCACAACATCAAAAATGCCTGCATATGCTCTTGTCCAAACATTTTGCAACTGGTGCAGAGACAGCTGGGTGTTTTGTGTCGAACCTTAAATTAGGATTAACCAAAAATCCTGTTTTCCCCGGACATGCTGACATTCTGTGCAGTGCATCCAGCAGCTTTCTGTTATTGTTGAAAAAGTCAAGGTTCTCATTGTTTGACCAATAGACATACTTAAATTGACTAGTGCGATACATGGAATACCACAGCCTTTTTTTAAATTTCCTAACGGTTGGTTTTTATTCAGTTATAGGCAAGATGCTTTATGGACAAAACACAAAATAAATGTACTTTATACTGTTCTGGTCACAACAAATGGGTGGCAGGGTGAACTGTGCACACAGCTGTTACTGCTCAACTTTCTAAGCTACAAAAGACAAAATGTTCGGGATGCACCAAATTTGATATTTGATATTGATACTGCTACTATGGCAATGTTTTTTACCAACATGACAGAATTAGATATATTGCCCGATGCTTTCTGCTTCTGTGTAATCTCCCACAATCCTGCCCTGCATCACAATCACTGTCACATGGCTCAATAAGTAACACATAATCTGCCCCCTAGACACAAACAAATGGCAGCAAGATGGAAATAAAATTGGTTGTTCATATTGGCGCAGATTTGCTTATTGGACCGATACTGATATGTTAAAAAATAACTGACATTGGCCAATACCCATGTTGATTGTTTCACCAAAGTGTTTTATGACTGGGCCAAGTGTCCTCTTTTTTGGATATTAAAATATAACGACCACCTTAAGTTTTTACAGTAAACTGGAAACATGTCTGGGTTCTGCCTTGTAGAGAGTGAAACCTGAAGACACGATTCTCAACTGGAAACAGGTTGAATCCTCCATCTGAGTCAGAGACGTCGCAAATGAATAAATAAAATCTTGCTGTCGTACAGACGATGGACAGACTTATTGGGGTTTTGTCTGCAGGAATGAGGGCGTCACCCTAGTTTGTTGGGGCAAAGAAAGAGCCAAGCTGAACGGTAGCTCTGGTGATTTACTGGCCTATCAATTTTACAATCTTCATCTGTGGCTATCCCGACTAAAACAATAACATCATGGATACAAGTGGCTGTATTGAGCTTCCTCCAGAGGGTGCCTGTGTTTAGCTTGATCAGTTTTATCAAATGTTATCCGCGCCAGAAATGCATTTTTGTTGGATAAAGCAAACAGACGGATGCTTAAAGGTCAGATTTAATCCATTCAGTGATTCCTTCATGATAATTTCATAGTGGCAGAAACAATAATTGAGATTTCGAGCATCACTCTGCAGCATGCAGTCACACTAAATTTACTTTACATTAATCAGCATGTTGCCCTATTTTCTTGCATTTTCTTTACAATTGTTAGTACATGCATACTGAATGACCGGCTCCTAAGAAATAAATTGGGAATTATGTTCAATGTTGATATTTAAGCTCAAAGTTATTTGTAAAGTCTAGTGAGTCCATCCACCACTCTTCCAAGCATTCATCATTTTTCTTCCACAATTTGCCTCCTGCTTTTTGCTGTCCACTTAAATCAGACCTACACAGACCAGCATCACTCCTTTGACCTTGTGAAATAAGATGATTATAGTCTCTGTTAATATTTCCTTTGTTAATCAATTAGGAACATCATAAAAAGCCTTAGGAAAGCGTGTTGGACGTACACATATTTCAGACTTTTTGATTTCATCTTCTAACTGAAGGCAAAAGCTCTTTAAAGTAACTCAGACAATGGATTTGAAGCTTACTGTATCTGTGAATAATATTTGTTTTGTTACTTTAAATAGATACAAAAATAGGCCCAAGAGCAGAAATACTGTCATGATGAGTATTTCAGTTTGATTCAATAATAAAAAATCTCAAATAAAATTCAGTTAACTCATTTGGTTACTTTCCTTTACTTAAATCAAAACTTGCTTAAGAGCGCAGTAGTTATTTGTCATATGTGCTAATCTGTCTTTTCAGGCTTGTGGCTCGGTCTCCTAATTTGTGTTTTCATCCAGACGGGTTTCTTCCTTGCTTTGATCTTTAAAGCTGACTGGAAAAAAGTGACGCAGAAGGTGAGCTATTCTCTTCTTTCTTTATAAAAGTATACAAATGTTCAAATAAGAAGTGGATTCAATAATAAAAAAACAAGATATTTTGAAGTCAAACTAAGCTGTGATATATATATGTTGGACCGTCATTTATGCTTTTTAAG